TGAACACGTCTGACAGTATCCTCTGTAGTTTTCCTCGTCTTCCTATGATGCTGGTTACTGTGTCGTTTATGATTTTAAGTTTGGCTAACTTAATAGTAGCATAGCCTAGTAGTACAATATGGTGGGTGCATTGTAGTGCTTTTGAAGTGTCATTTTTATGTATTTTGGAGTGCCCTCATCAACATACCCCATGTACCCATGATATTAGAAATCAATATAAGTATTGTACTACAGCTAAATTAATGGATGAAATGGCGACGGGAGCTATAACACCACCGTAACACATGTGCGCACCAAAGAAATAATTCAATTTGCAAAAAAAACAAAGATGGCACACTAGTTTAGCTGAAATAATGACAACATCCATCATTGAGGAAATTAACATGTCCATAGACAAGCAAACAACATTGGTCCATTTAAAATGCATGATAGAGAGATACATCAAATATAGCTTTATTTAATTTACTACTCTGCTAATGAATCCAAGAACAAGGAAACATAAGGAAGATAGTATGGTCTGTAGATGAACTCTTTTTTAATGGTACGTCTACCATACCGAAAGACACGGACATGGATAACATGAACTTTTTTGCGGTCCATATTATATGTGATGATTGTTCCATCCTCCCTAGCAAAGAAAATCAAATTCCATTATGGGTGAACTGTGATCACTATGTCCTCGTCATCAAAATCTGAAAAACCAAATCTAATATTAATCCTTCCAAACAGGATCCGCATGGTGACCGTATACTTCAATATCCAATTATCAGTACCATAGTCTTCACGGATGCAGATGGAAAGCTTGGAATCATTGGGACCATCAATAGTACATAAACACAAGTGACCCTGAGCTTGATGCATGGAGTGGTGAAGACCATCTGACCTATCAATTTTCCTCTATGTGTTTTCCTCCATATCCATAGAAAATATCATAGAGTACCTCCCAGAGTGCCCCATAATGTGTAGACAGCAGTTAAGAAACACACTTGGTTGTCTATAAAATGTCATATCAGTATGCTCACCCCATTCAGATTCCTTATAGGTCCATGCTGTAGTTTAAGATGAGTAGATCTCCACACCTGCGCACACAGTGTTGACATCCATATATTTAATCGCATGGAAGTGCGAGGAGGCTATCGAATCGAACACCAATCGAGCCTCACCATCAGCATGGCCAACATCATGGGTGCTATGCGACATAATTTTAAACTTCTAGGTCATTGGATTGCAGACAATATAGCGGTATCCATCAGCCCTAAGGTACCAGCATAGGATGAAGCCATTGCAGCAATCTGAGAAAGCTACATTATCAATGTTGAAGGGCAAGAATTCCAAGGAGCGAGGCGTACACCACGAACGATGCTGGTGAAGTTTCGATTGCCGTTCTTACTATCATAGAAGAAGCCGGCCATAGTCTGGGGTAGCTTCTTATGGTTGTTGGGGTCCGAGATGAGGTCTTTCTAGGAGTGACAGACACATTTGCAGCAGAACAAGGAGCGAGCGGGGAGGCGGCAGAGGATCTCGAAAACAAGATCCTTCGTGAGGCTAGCCAGTGCGTTCCTCTTGTTGGGAGCCTCCTCCATTTCGTCGGTGTGTAGTACAAGGAGAGCTTCACTAAAGAGGAAAATAATCCAACAAAGATCCATCAGTGAAGTTCACAACTCATACCAAAGTGCAACTATTAACAATTTTCATGGTACGGCCTCATGTAAATTTAGAGTAGCACCACATAGATATATATAACTCAAACTAGAGTAGCAGTTAATGGAGCTGTAACCATTATAATTTTAGCAGTTAGTTGAGCTTCCTCAGTTTTCATAAGTAGAATGTCAGTGAACAAGTGGTAGTGATCATCATTGGCATCAATAGCAACATGTGCAGCTTAAACATTATTAGCCTCAGTGATGTGAATGATGGACACAAAGCATTGATTTGCTTTCGATGCCTTCCTCTTGTTTGGAACCAAATGGATAACTTGGTTGTCAACAAGGAGAAGACACAGAAAGCAAACATATGAGTTGCATTCTAATACATTCAATAGCCATGTAGACACCATTGGCATAGAAATGTGGCCTTAGATATGTTACAAGTTCAAAATACCATAAGTACTCACTGGTGGCACTGGAGCATATGCAACAGAAATATAGAATCAAGCAAGCACTGGATAGAAAAAATAGTTTAAGGTAGAAGCAAATGGTCTATATGTTTGCCTAGACAGATAGGTATAATCAAGCAAGCACTTGACAATTAACAAGCCTAGTTGCACACAGACATTTACAGTAAGAACACTGAACATATGCAGAAAACCAAGACACCAGCAGAAAACCAGTGTCACCTGCTAGTTCTTTTCATCTGCATTGGCCTAACCAGATCTACAACGCTACAATGTTTCTTGTATACCTCATGTTCAAGCAAGGACCAAAATAGTGAAGGCAGGAAAAGGTGAGAAAGCAGACCTGCGGATCGGATCTATCGCCTCTACCGCGGCACACGACGGACACGGACGCCAATGCCACCGTGCTCCACCGAGAAGATCTACCACCTAGCCTCCAAAAGGACGCCTGAGCCACCACATCACACTGGGGATCCTCCGTTGCCGCCGCAAGTCCAACGGGCACAGATTTGTTTCCACTTGCAGGGGATACATCCAATATATAAGTCAACCTGTCTACACAGAGAACATATACTACTATTAGGACTCCAAAGACATGTCAACACAACCAGACGTCTAGCATAATGGTGAAGATGGTTTTTTCCTTGATCTAGATCCCAGGTTCGACTCATAGGTCTCATGGTTTTTTTAGTTTGAATTTATTAAACTCCGGCGGCAGCAAGTGACACACAAGCCGTCGGGTCCCATAGGTCGAATAGAGATGGAGAAAGGTCCCACTGGCCGTTGGGTTCCAAAGGTCGGATGGTCCCATAGGTACACGTGACACGTAAGCCGTCAGGTCCCACAGATCCGTCAGGTGCCACAGGTCGGATGGAGATGGAGAACGGTTCCACAGGTACACGTGACATGTAAGTTGACGGGCCCCACAGGTCGGATGCTGAAGGGTTCCGCAGGTACTCATCGGATAAAGAAAGGACTGAGCGAAGACTTCTATGACGAATTGCAAGCGTCACGGATGAGTAACCGCAGGTCCCACAAGTACACGTTGGATGTAGAAGGGTCCTACAGGTACATGTCGCATGGAGAAAGGGTCGAGCGGAGACTTTTATGATGAATTGCAAGCGTCACGGATGAGTAACTGCAGGTCCCACAAGTACACGTCAGATGGAGAAAGTGTAGTGTGGAGATCTATGACGAAGTCATTCGTTATAGATCAAATATTGTTCATCACAGATGTATAATTAGTTCAATGACGAAGCCCTGTTTGTCAGAGGTTTAAACAAGATCGTCATAGATGAGTCACGCGAGTGATCTATGATGAAACCATGCGCTCTTCTATGATGTTTTTTGTGACGATGCCTGATTTCATTATAGAAAGGGAGGGTTGCAGGATCGTCACCACTGATCTATGACGAAACAAAAATATTCGTCATAAAAATGATCTTCTATGACGATTTCGGATTCGTCATTAGCATTTTCGTCATAGAAGTGGATATTTCTAGTAGTGGCTCTACAACGGTGTCACCGTATCTCCTTCGGTTCCGTGGTGGAACTGAGACTCCATATAGACTAGAGCCATATGGGTAGACATATAGATGCACGTGGGTATCAAAGCAAATTGCTATGAACATTGAAAATCCACACTGATGCACTCTCTTATCTCGAGTAGTATCCATTGGACCTATGCCCTTCTCTTCATCGAGTAAATCTTGATGACTCCCGACCTAACCAAAGCTTTAATCACCTAGTCTGTGCTTCTTTTAAATTTGTCACGGATTATATAAAGCATGTTGTCTTCTCTTATGCAACATTGACCTAACTACAAGTTGTTGCTTTTCTCTGCAAAGTGTTCCACCCAACCTTCTATCCTAATCCTTTGAACAAAAACAATTCCAAAGAATCTAAAACTACTATATAGGTCAGAGAAAATTTCAAAGCTTAAAAAAATTGCGTAAAAATGCTGGAGAAAGTGAAGGACGAGGAGCTAAAATAAAATATTTAAATCTCATGAAAAATATTTGGAAGTTTCAAATAAATGGATTAAGCTCAAGGAGAAAGGAATTAAAGCCCCAAAAGCTAGAAAATTTCCTAGGGAAAGATGATCATATGCTAAACATATTTAAAAACTTTTACACATATAAACGTTAGGTGCAACCGATATGAATGCAACACCCATATGTAATTTACATTTTTATCTAACAAAAAATGGTAACAATCTAGCTAAAGTTTGGGATTTTAGAAAACATTTGATTTAACATTTTCTATATATTTACAACACAAAATTGACATCATTTTGTGTTTGATTGTACCTGAGCTAGATTAAAAAAAATCGGTGAATTATTATTAGAAGGAGAACGAGGAAGCTCTCTCCGTATGCTGCGTGCACCGTGTTGTTTCCTTTCCTATTCTTTTCCTTGATTATATTAGTACAGATTAGATAGAAAATAGAGATTCTGTTTTTTAAATAAAAAATAAATTCAGGATATTATAGAATATATTATAGATCATAGAATATATGCTGTCTTGTTGTATTTAATTGGACAGTACAGTAGTGCGGGGTCCAGGCCCAGCCCATGGCCATGGGTGATGGGTGCAGTGCACGAAACGAGAAGAAGCGAACACGTGTAGTGAGCGAGTGCGGCGGCGGCACCCGATACGAGGGAGGGGGGACGCGGCCTGGGCCGGGTCGAGCCGGGCCCAGTTTAGCCCAGCCAGGTTCGAATTGGGTTGGGGAGCTCGTCTTGTTCCTCCGTCCGATCCATCATCCATCGTCTCTTCGATTCGATTGATTCATTCATCTTTCGTTCTTCCTATATAGTCTCGTCTCCGCGCCATTCTCCAAATCCATCGATCGATCGTCACCATCCCGACCCCAATCCCAGCCCCGATGATGCAGCAGCAGCAGCAGCAAGAGGAGGACCCAGCACCGCCACCCGCAGTCGCCGATCCCGACCCACCGCCGCCCCCCCACCGCGGTGATGCCGCCGCCGCCTCCTCCGCCACGCAGACGCTCCCCTCCCGCAACGCCTCCTCCAAGTACGATTTCGTCAAGGTCAAGGTGTGGCTCGGGGAGAACGCCGACCACTACTACGTCCTCTCCAGGTTCCTCCTCAGCAGGATGCTCACAGTCACCAAGGTACACACACCACTAAGCAATTCCCTCTTTCCTTTCTATATAATACTCTCTCTCTATATATCCATCAATCAATCAATTAACCGGTCCATTGTTCCCCTTTGTTTTGTTTTTATTTTCAACACACACACACACACACACACACACACACGCAGATTCCTAATCATGTCGCCATCAAGATTGCCCTTGAGCTCAAGAAGCTGCTTGTCGACAACAGCCTGCTTGATGTGTACTTACCTATGCATCTTCTTCCCCACTCTTCCATCTAACTATCCTAGTATTAATTTTCAACATGCTATATGCTAGCCTTCAACTATCTTCTCGAATACTCTGTATTTTAACTCCTGCAACTCCTCATTTTGCAGCTCCCAGAGTGATCTAGAGGCTAATCTATTCAAGGTTAGGTCCCTTCCTGCTTCACTTGGCGGCTGCTGCATGCTACTTTCTTAACTGATTACACAAACTTATAACTTCCCTCCTTCCACAGCTTATGGAAAAACGGGGATATGGAGAGGACTATATAAATCGCTATAAAATGATGACAAGGTACTCTGCTCTAGTGGCCAAAAAAAACACACACACACACACACCTTCTGTTTCTCTATAGCCGAGTATGTAGTGATCGTTAAGAAACAATGTGAACATTATGAGGCTTGTTAATCCAGAAAGAAACTCTTGTACAGCAGCGGCATTCAAATAACATGTTTCTGCTGTACTCATCCCCCTACCCCGTGCAGGTTCCATCATCAAAGGGTTCCACTAGTAATTTTAGTGTGTGGAACTGCATGTACTGGAAAATCAACAATCGCTACACAACTTGCTCAGAGGCTCAATTTGCCTAATGTTTTACAGGTGGGTTTATTACTTATCTCCGCCAGTCTATAGCTCATGTCTCATATGCCTCATTTCCCTACCCTTGTACAATTGCAGACAGACATGGTGTATGAGCTGCTGCGGACATCAACAGAGTAAGTTGTGTCTTCTTTTTTGGTTGTTTGAGGAAAAAAAATATATGCCAGTACCTAGTTTCGTTGCTGCCCTTGGTTCCTCCTTTTTGCAAAGATATGTGGATCATTCATGATTTGAATTTGGGCACATAAATTACTCATGTGATTAACACATGCAGTGCGCCACTTACTTCAGTTCCCGTGTGGGCTCGCGATTTTAATTCACCTGAAGAGCTTATCACTGAATTCTGCAGAGAATGCAGAGTTGTACGCAAGGGTATGCCATATTTTATGCCCACGTTATCTGCTCTGCAGACGTCATTGTCACTTTATCTGGATAAAACTAGCTATAGTCACTCCATTGGTTTTTCTTGGTTACCTGATAATGTCGGCCCTATACTTCGTGCTACCTTTCGCTAGGTTTGGCTGGCGATTTGAAGAAGGCCATGAAAGATGGGAAGCCAATTATTATAGAGGTATGCTGCCTTTTGTTGTGTACATTCAGGATAAATATATGTGTTACCTTCATGTGTTTCTCACTATCCGACCACAGAAATACCTCTCCCGACCAGACTTGGATGTCACATACCTTTCTCTCATCTTTGTTTCATCAGTGTACATGGATGCAAACATGGATGGGTACAGGACACAAGACATGCACAGAATATATCAATGTCTTTTTTTCCAAAAAGAATATAAAACTGGCATGGTTTTGTGTTAGAAATTAGAAAACATACACATGAGAGCATGATTACCCAGAAATAATACTATCTAGAAAAAATAATTATGTATGTTTATATCAGCATGGAGGCTTAGATTAAAAAATTTGACCCGCGGGGGATAAGACAGCCCCCAGCCATTATGCTTATGATAGAAGGTAACCTTCTCACGCAGGTCGAGAAACCCCCCGAATCCCTGCCCCCCACCCCCCCCATACACAGCGTCACCATTGCCCATTTGAGAACCTGCTGGGCCGATCCTTAGACATGTGATTTGGCATGGGATGGAGGCTTAGATACATCATTATGCTAGGTGGATTTAAGCATAGGTCTACATATGTCTTGTGCTGTAAGTGAATTCTCTTGTGCATATGACTATTTGTATGATATGGCAATTATGCATAATTCCTTGTACCTATTGCAGAACCATGTTGATAAACTCGTTTATTTTAGACGAAGGCATATCCATTGGACGACACACCTCCGGTGCTTGTTGTGTTTAACACATTTATGCTTTCTGGTAGGGTGTCTGTGCTGCATAGGTCCTTTGTACTTTTGGTATTTTGTTAGCGACCTAGTGTTTCAATTTGTTTGACACCAGATATTGCCTGTTTAGCAAATTGTAATTAGAATTTCCTTATTTTTAATACCTGGATTGGGGGTTTGAAGGTAGCCATATGATTTACAACATATACACCTTTTAGTACGGTGCCATATGTATAGATAATTCATATCTGATCTAAGTAAGTATCTCACTGCAGGGAATACATTTGGATCCAAGCATTTATCTTATGGATGAGGAAAAGGGAGATGGTAATTCCAGGACGGAGAAGACAGTAATGGATTCTGAAAATCCAGGCATCTCTATAGAAAGGAAGACCGAACACCAATCCAAAAATGGACTAGCAGAGAACAGGATGAATCCTATGGAGGAAAACAAAAACTTTGTCAAAATCAAAGAAAGCATGCTGGAGGAAGGTAGAACCAGTGAAGGACTATCTTATGCTGAGAGCCATGAAACCAAGATTCACGATTCTGCACGTTCTCAAGAAAAAAATTCCAAAGATGAAAGTAAGAAAAAAAAAACAAGTGAAATTAATTTATTATTAGTATGTGGTCAATATGTCTTTACTCAAGTTTAAGGCAAGCTTGTGGTTTCCCAAAAAAAGAGAGTAAACTATCAAATTTACCAGATTAGTTTAAGGCCAGCATAATCTTTCTACAAATATCAACAAGTGAATGTGTGTGTTGGTGGGGTTGGGGGGGGTGTCAAATAAGGAAGCACAGAACAAAATCTTAAACATGCCCCAAATTTCCAGAACACAGTGCTATGCCAGGTTGTTTTCTGAGTTTTTCTGTTGCACTTAAAAGAGAACTGTTTTCTATGCCTTGTAGGTGATGGGCACAAAGATTTGGACCAACAGAAGAATAACACCACCAAGAAAGACAAACCTGCTGCTGAACCGATAGTTGTTCCGATTGTACTGAGGATGTCTGATTTTGATCACAAAGTCTGTGCTCTCGTTGGTTTATATTTTAAATGCCTATCTACCTTTATTTTCATAACATACTTCTGGTTTTTACTGTATTTGAAATAGCATTTGTAATTTGTATTGAATACATAAGAGGATTAAAAATGTCTATGTAAATTCTTGAAGCTCAATGTTACTGACCTTGGCATAGTGCCAGCCACCAGGGAAAAAACCTATCTATTTTTGTTTTATATATGACTGCATCATCTGTACTAATTATGGCTGCACACACCTTTTGAATGAGAGCTGCTGATTTGTGGACCATATATTTTCATTCATTGCTTCTGCATTCTCATTACATGGATTATTGATTCATTTCTATCTTCTCTTATGATTTGCTTTGTTGTTCTGTTCAGGCATTGTTAGAGGAATGGATAGCCACTAGAGCTTTCAGAGATAATTGCATTCCTCAGGTATCTATGGAAGCTTTAGTACTCATACAATCTACAAACTTACATTTCTTTGAAAATTGTTGTGCAACCCTTATACTTCTTGTAATTGATATAAAATGATAGGTCTTATTTGTCTGCAATGCTTGCATGAAGTCTTACCAGCACTTGCAGTCACCTAACTGGCAAGCTTTTTTTTTACTGCAGTCATAGATATTGTATAAAGCATATGTATCCTGTGGCTGTGACACCATATGGAAGATAGTAACATATACTCATAGAAATTGTATAAAGCATATGTATTCTGTCCATGTGTCACACATGCTACACCTTGAAGTTCCTCTTTTTAAGTATATCAGGGTCTTCCTATGGGTTAAGTATATATATAACAAATAAGTTTATGCATGATAGAGATGTTACTATAAGCAGTGATTTTGTGGGGCCTACTTTCAGGTTTGCTACCTCATGCAAGTAGTATCTAACTCTTACATGGTGCTAACTTTCTGATGTTATTCAGGATCATCGGAAACTTATAAACAACCTTAAGCTTATTCAGGACTACCTTTGTTCTTTTGAGTCACAGGCAAGTTTTCCTTGATTGACAGGCTGGTATATTTTAGGTTGTTTGTTATCATCTGATGAACTTGATCTGTTTTGTCTGGAGTTTGAGTGTGTAATTCTAAGCCTCTTTTAAAAATCCTTGTTCAGGGATTGACCATTGTTGATATCTCAGCAAATTCGTTTCCTCAAACATTAGATTGGCTTCACAGCTATCTTCTTCAGGTACACCTGCTATACTCACTTTCTTGCTAGCCATTGTCCCATCTGTCTTTTTCCCTTTAATAACGTCATGCTAATGTCCTAAATTGTAATGTGTCTGGGTGAAGGTCCAGCCCCTCTGGTTTTGAACATGATGAAGTCTCCAAAATACAACTTTGGCTACTCATGTCATTTTTAAATATCCCAACCCAACACATTGAAGTTATTTAAGATCAAAGTTGACTTCAAACAACCCAAGAACTTTACCGTTGTGGAAAAAAACAACCCAAAAACAGCACTTCTTGGTATTTTTATTTTTTATTTGTCAATTTGCCATTTATCAAGTTGTCTTAGGGGGGCATTTTGTGCACTTATTTCCCTTGGCAGTGCATCGAGCGAGGTCTTTTGGCTGCGTGTTCAGAAAGCTGCAATCAAGGGGGAAATTAATCGACATGACACTATGGGATTGTCCTAGAGAGAGATAGATTACTGTTATGGATGAGGCATTTTCTTCAATGTAACCTGGTTGATATAATCTGTTGTACCGGCAAAGTCGCAGTGAGTGATATTACATACGATCCACAGCGCTGACTATTATTCATGCAAACAGAAGCATTCTCCCTGGCCCTGCTAAGGTTAGAATGGAATGCACATTGGCAATGGACATTAAGAATAGCAGTGCACTGACATGCGACTAACTGATTCACTTTCCTTATTTGCAGGAGCGAGCTGTTAGGTTGTATTTTGCTCTGAGACACCCAGGGATGGGATGGACCCGTCTCAGTTTTCAGGGCAGGACGATCCTGTTTTGTGTTTGTCTTAGTTTTCAAAAGTGGGATGGCTAGTGGGGTCCACCTGTCATTCTCTCTCTCTTTTTCCTTTCTTTCATCTTCCCCCATCCGCTCGCACATGGCTGCTCCGGGCGGCGCTTGCCCGCATGCAGCATGCCGATGCCAAGGGCGGCGCTCACCCGCACGGCTGCGCAACGGTGCCAGGGGCGGATCTTGTCGGGGTGCTGCCCGTGTAGCTTCCGCATGCGACCGCCTACCTCGCTTGCGCGCGCGGCTACCTGCCATGAGCGTCGCCTCGCCCACGACCGCCCCACGACGGAGCGTTGCCTCGCCTGACTTAAAGCAAGCCTTCGTGCCTGCGGCCGGTGACTACATAGGCTCCATAGGCTCCCCGCACGTCTCTTCTTCCTAGCCCCTTCTTCCACTCGTCCCACCGGGGACGTCCCCATCCGAGAATTTTTTATGGGCAAGGTAAACTCGGATCTATGCGGTATATTCCATTTCCATGGTGGAATGTTCCTGTCTCTAGATGTCATGGAACCAAACACCAATTCAAGTGGGATAATCACATCCCTACAACCAAACAACACCTTAGAGTTGGTGTGGGTGTGAAACTCCCATACACCGATAACCACAATGTATATCCATATACATGGGACCTATGTGGCCAATACTAAAATCTATACTCTACGATGTTGTTTTCCAACAATGTTCAGCTAACAAGTAGTCTACAAGGTGAATCTCACCCAAGATAAAGAAAATCCCCTCATCTCCAATCCATCAGCCAAAACAAGAAGGGGGTAAACCCTAAACCCCAAGAAAAAAGAATATTTTTTATTCTCTATGAGAAATCCATAAGATTATAGGTATCTTTTTTTTAACTGCTATATTGACTGTGTTTCAGGTAGCTGGTGAAAATTATTTTAATCCCTATAGACTGACCTGCCAAACATTGGAGCCAGCAAGCGTGCCCTTTCCCGAAAAGAAATTTATGCCAAGAATCCTAAGAACTGCTTTGGTACCACATTGAACTGTGTCGCAGCTGTGAAGGTCGCAGCAGTGGCCGTTGCCTTCACCTATGTGCAGCAACAGCTGCCCTACCACACGGTAGTACCAGCAGCCTAGCACCAGGCGACAATAGAGACAAACGGCGAGGCGATAACCTGCATAAATTTCTTTTTTGAAAACATTAATTGATCGTGAGTCAATTCCTCAAATTTAGTGAAATAACTCTACTACTAATTATAAGCATAGTGAAATGATTCTATTTCTCGTACTAATATTAATTACTCCCTTCGTTCTAAAAATAAAGTCGTTTTAGACAAGGCTTGGGTCAAACATTGAAAATATAAATTATGAATAACTTTTAAGTTGTTTAGTTTAAAAATATGAAAGCCATATAAATAGATTTGTCTTGAAAATACTTTCATAAAAATATACATATATCACCTTTTGATAAATATTTTTATAAAAACAAGGAGTCAAAATAATACTTTGAAGACCTTGTCTTTCTCCAAAACAACTTTATTTTTTAGTATGAAGGGAGTATAAGTCTAAGAGCATCTCTAAGAGTTTCTAACAATGTTTTTTCAAAACCATAGAGTTTTTCAACTCATCAAAAATTATTGAAAGGAATAAATAAGACAATATTCCACTATTTTCGATAATTCACTCCTAAAATATAGAAAACAATTTATATTATTATACTATTTCTAAATTATCCTAACCACTTTTATATATTTTTATTTTTTTTACGTCCTTCCACCTTTAAATTGGCCGATAGATACGCGCGTAGTGGACACACAGATATATCCACACGATCGGTCTATTTTTTTCAAGTGCGAAAAGATTGGGAGTGGGATTGGAACTGTTAAAGATGTTTTTTTTTTTCATTTTTACCAAAAATCCTGAATTGAAAGGCTTTATTGAAAACCTTTGGAGATGCTCTAATACTAATTATAAGCCTAAAGTATGAAGTGGTGATACATCGACTTATACACTTCACAAAACAAAGAATTAAGAAGTGGAATATGGTGGACTACATCATTCCACAAATCAATCACCTTATAAAGCTTTGTTAAATGTTATTGCCCGCAATTTAAAATACTCTGATGCAATTTTCAAATAATATCTTATTTGGTGTGAAATTTTAAAAGGTAGACAAGTACAGACCGATATTGGAATATTCCGTTCTAAGAGAAGGGGGTGTTAGGCCAGGCAGAAATCAATATGAATTCAGCACACAACACAGTGAGGGAGCGAGAGTGAGTGTTCAGAGGCCTGCCTTGATGGATGATTTTCTTGACAAACATTTGGTAGCAATCGTTGCACCATCAACCATTCTGATAGACTTGAATGAAAAGGTCAACCAATCCACAGAAAATATTGCACCTGGAGCACCAAATAGTTGACATGACGCACTATAATTTTCCAGCTTTATTTACTATATATACAGACGATCTGTACAAGCACAGATAGGGCAGCACGCAAAAATTTACAGTGCCAGATAGAAGAAATAGTACAAAAACAACACTTTAACAAAGCAAATAACTTTAGTGACTGCCATCCTGCACACTGATTCCTTCGTCTACAACTTTTGCACCGCAGGACCTTGCCACCGACTCGAACAGTTTCTCAATCTCAGGTGCACAGTGTGTAAAAGACCGGTTCCAAAAGTTGTAACGCGGATTCTAACACAAGAAAGGTACATTAGTGCTCTGAGTGTGTGCGATATTTTAATTAATCACACGAAACAAAGCATGTCACGTACCTTTATCAATTCAATGAAAGTAATAAGTAACCCCCAAGGATGGGGGCGGTTCACTATGAGACGCTCCAGAAGAACCCTCGTTATTTGCTCCTGGATAATTTCCTGCTCAATCACATAGCATGGACATTAGAGGGTATGTCATAGAATCCATACTAATAGCAAGCATATACAATATGGCAAACACTAGCAGCCTCCAAAAAATGAATCAGATGCTATAAGTGGATGTGAAGATGCGTGCGGAGATTCGTTACAGAGGGATGCACCACATACAACATGAACCCAAGAAAGCAAGGTGGCACATGTAATCGTACAAGTAACATCTGCAATACCTGGGTAGCCTCAGCAAATAGATACAGAATGATGAAGGAGAAGTAGTGCGTATGGCTATTGGGATAGCGCAGTTGGTTAGCAATTGCATTCAACAGAAGGTAGCGGCCCTCTGTATCCAAACTTGTTATAAGATTTCTGAACATCTCGGTAGCTGTTTCAATCTGGAAAATGTCCATCAGAGGCATATGGTTAATCTGCTGTACTGATGCCGATGCATTAGCCTTGTTCAGTTGCAGTTGTTGCACAGCCTATATATTGATTCAAGTACGAGGTTAGAGATGCAAACCATATTTTTTTAGAAAAAAAAGAACTACAGAACAAAACACAAACAAATTAAACCAAAATACACTGCATCATTAATGCAATTTCTGACGAAGAAACAGAACAGATTATAGGTTCTGCCATCTATATGCTGTAAGATACAAGGACTTTTGCAAAAGCTAATTAGAGACATTCAAATATACTAGCTGGAGGGAGAGATGCTTTGATCAGGCAATCAAAGCCTAATGCAAGTTTGGATCTTTCTCAAAGAGCAAACGAAGATCAGGTAGGGCAATTTTGGATTCTTCTGCAGGAACTCATGGGATTGTGCAAAAACTCACTTGGATGCCAACATAAAGAACAAGTGAATTGATCAGAGGCACGTTGTAGCGTGTCCCAGCAACAGTTGCTTCATTCTGAGGCAGCAGCAATTTTTGCTTCAGGTCACTTAGAAAGGAAGAGCCTTCCGGCCTCTGTGTGATACCAAAGTGAGAACAGCATGCATATCAGCCCATGAATAGCAGTCGATAGCAGTCCAAATTCATAAAAAGGATAATAACAAGAAAAATTGTTTGACCTTGAGATATTCATCAACCTCAGTCTTCAACTGCTTTGATTTGAGGGCACCATCAACATCCGACATGATTCGTGGTGCTATTGAAATTTCAGCCAACAAATCAATCTGTAAAACAAGAAAAAACGACTTAAATATGCCCAATTGGTATCAGGACAGAGAAAGCACTGCTCCACAGATGGCATGTACCTTTAGATTAGGAGTAGAAGGGTCTGGCAGTCTCATGTTACGTGGAAAAGCACTAAGAATGACATTGCGCATTTGAATGCAACTTGAAGGAATCACATCACAGAAACTGAAGTGATAATCACAAAGAAATTCAGGAAAGTCATGCAGTAGTACAAGCAGAACTCTCATAGTTCCTTTGTATAAAAGGTCCACCTACAAAAAAAAAAAGTAGATATGATACAAAAATTAAGAAGT